CTGTGTATGCTTTGGGGGGCCCACTCTTCTTCAAGGGGAGGGGTTGGGGCGACACTGGAGCATGGGAGGCATTTCTCTGCAATGAGGCCACCTTCCCACGCCTCATGGGTTGAGGATTTGGCATGTCCCTGAAGGAAAAACCACATGCTGGACTGTTCGCCTCCCCTCTTATGTCCTGGCTTTTCCACCCACAGGCAGCTGGGAACAGCTTATGTGAGTGCCACCACCGGGGCTGTGGCCACGGCCCTGGGACTCAAATCCCTCACCAAGGTAAATGACCCCCCATTCCACTGGTCCCCAATCATCCTTTATCCACCTCCTTCCCCATCACCCTTCTACACCACCCAACAGGCTTCATGTATCTCTTCCCAGAGTTCCTCACCACCCCATGGCCCTTGGGGCCACTAACTGGCATCTTTCCTCCCCCAGCACCTGCCCCCCCTGATTGGCAGATTTGTGCCCTTTGCAGCTGTGGCAGCTGCAAATTGCATCAACATCCCTCTGATGAGGCAGAGGTGAGTGGCGCCGACGCCTGGCCTGTGCACACCCAGTGTGAGTGTGGGCACACCATCTAGCGGTGCACACCAGCCTGAGTGGGGACTGTCCTCTCCCTGAGCATGAGCTGCTGGGCCTAGTCTCAGTCTGACCCCAGGATCTGGGAGGAGAGAACCAGCCTTTCAATCTAGGATGTCTGAGGGGACCCTGGGAATAGCTGCCCATGAGGACATTGTGGGAGGGACTTGGGGCCTGTGATCTGACCCTCACCCCTTCCCTCCTCAGGAGCTGCAGGTGGGCATCCCCGTGACTGATGAGGCAAGCCAGAAGCTTGGCCAGTCAGCGACTGCGGCCAACCAGGGAAGATTACCAGGTGGCGATATCGAGAATCGCATGCGATTCCTGCCATGGGTGAGGCAGAGGTGGCTGGGTGGGGCACGGGAGGCCCTGGGAGAGAGGGGGTGTAGTTCTTCCCGGGTTTTGAGGATTCCTGGTGGTAGTGGGAAGAACTGTGAAGGGGCTCCCCCTTTCTTAGGGTCCCTTCTGCCGCTTTACTTACCTTTCCCTCCCTGCCCCGCTCTCCCCTCAGCCATTCCCCCTGTGATCATGAACACTTTGGAGAAGAAAGACTTCCTGAAGGTAGGTCACTCTCACCTCTCCTGTCCTGGAAGTAGTGGTGATGGGGAGCAGAAGTGACCAATCCCTAACCCCCTCTCCAGCCTGACCTGAGTCTAAGACTTGCCACCTGTTTGCCCCACCCTTGTGCTGCCTCCTCCACCCTCATTCATTCAGCAAGAACAGATTGGATGGGCTGGAGTGAAGGAACATTGAGTGAACACGAGGAGAAGATAAGGGAAGGAGGGAAATGGTTTCTATCCCGAAGGAAACTGGTGTCACTCAGAGCCTCTGACACACACCAAGGATGGGCTATCATAGTCACACTTGCTATCGCACTCACGCTGTCACATAATGACAACAGTGGGACATGCACACGCACAAACAGGACAGGGAAGCAAGGCACGGGAGTACACGCTCCGGCTCATCCAGTGGATCATTCTTTCACAAATATTTACTGACCACCAACTATGCACATTTGAGTATCAGGATGGGGTCCATGTGGCTGGAGCAAATGGAGAAGAGTGTGCAGAGGAGGAGATGTTTGAAAAAGGGACAAATTCGTGCCACTGGGATGGGAAGGAATGAGTGGAGGTCAGATGGAGGCTCCCTAAAGATGGCAGGCTCCCGGGAGGAAGTGAGGGAAGAGAAAGAGGGGCCGGGGAGTACCCTGGGATCTAATTCTGAGGCCAGAGTGGGTGAGGGGACACTAGGAGGGGTGTCAGCAAACAGGCCTGGCTGGAGTGGAAGGCGGTGATCTAAAGGTCCCAACCCTGTTATACGTTTGGGAGAAAGAAAAAGACCATGTTTCAGTGGCTGAAAGGCAGGGCTGAAGGGGTAGAGCCATGGTGAGTGAAATGGGGTGGGGGCATCGCGGGCAGGGGACTCAAGTCATTCCATTGTCTCTGTCTCCCACAGCGTCGCCCCTGGCTGGGGGCACCCCTGCAGGTGGGACTGGTGGGCTTCTGGTAAGTGCTCAGGGAGTTAGCTAGGGGTGTGGGAGTGCCCTTTCCAGGGTGGAGGTGGGTGGGTATTTATTGCTTTTAAGATGTTTATATATACATCATTCATTCACACAGTAAGAAGGTAGGGGTGTTGGACACCCATAGGGCATACTGTGTGCGTGAGGGGTTGATCCCTGTCCTGGAAGGTCGGGAGTTCAGTTGAAGGGGTTCCAGTCTTCCTCTCTGAGAGGAAACCATGAGAATATACATGTTGGTACCATCCAGGAGTTTCATGCCCATCGAATTTCTGATTCTCGCTCTCTGGCTGTGGAACTCTGGGTTCTTTCCTCAGCCAGAACCTGATGTCAGTGTTGGCTTTAATCAGTCACCACCCCTAGGGGCAGGGTCCAGAAACGGGGTGGGGTGCAGGGAGGGAACTCCCTTAGGTCAAAGCTTCACAAACCTTCCCAACACTCTTCTCCCCAGCCTGGTATTTGCCACCCCCCTATGCTGCGCCCTGTTCCCCCAGAGAAGGTAAGTGCTCTCCCCCCACCCTGGGCTTGGCTGGGGGCTCTGTATGGTCTCCATATCTCTGGAACCAGCTGACCTTAGGGTCCTTCATCGTGTTCCAGGAAGAGGCCTGGCAGGCACTCAGCTTACTCTGGGGGAGGGGAGATGGCAGTGATCTGGGCCTCCTGCCCTTTGATGGAGATCCTTCAGCTTGGAAAGAGGAGGGATGGTGATCCCTTAGCCTGAGGGGGGTCGGGTTGAGGGGACACTCAGCCTGGCTGTGCTGTTCTGTTGCAGCTCCATACATGTGAGCAGGCTGGAGCCAGAGCTGAGAGCTCAGATCCGTCAGCAAAACCCCAGCATCGAAGTCGTCTACTACAACAAGGGGCTCTGAAGGAGAGTCAGCCCTGGCCCTCCCTCATCTCCTTGGGCTGCTGCATTTCTGGAGCCCTGCCATCCTGCCACTTTCTCTTCTGCCTGATATTGAGCAAGGGGCTTGGTGGGGAGCAGCCATTGAGACCAGCAATCCACTAGGCTGGGAAAGGTACCTAATAAGTCTTTTTCTCTCCTCTCTGATTCCAAAGAGCAGGGTCACATAATCCCTTTCTGCTGCACTCGTGTGTCTTCGTATATGCATATGTGATATGTGTGTGTGTGCACACTGTCCTAGAAGCTAGGAGCAGACATGCTGTCCTGGGATGTCCTGATCTGGCTTCTCCTCTTGGCCTCCTGCCACCTGCCAGCCAGCCAGGCTATGGGACTTGGACAGTTCCACTGGCCAAGCCATTTCTCACAGCACCTCACTCCTTCTGGACATAAGAGAAGCCCCAGGATCTCAGGACAGACTGAAGGACACTAGCAAACCAGACCGGGTTGAATCCTCCAGATTTCTGCTTCCTGGCTCCCAAAGCTGACTCAGGAACAGGGCTGGCAGAGGAAGGCCTGTCAGGCTCAGGGAGGCAGGGGGCTTATACTCTCCCCACATCCTGGAATAGATCATTTCCTCTCTGCTGCTCTACCAGAACAAAGGAATGCCAGTATCCTGTACTGTTCTTGCCAGCTCCCCATCCCCCCTCCGCTGCCATGGGGGCATCTTCGGGCATAATGCTGGGAGTTCTTGGTCCGCTCTACATTATCACCTCAAATCTAAACCTGCAACCGCAACCCTCTCTCAAACCCTCAACCAAAAAGTCACCAAGGCAGAGAAGCATTCCAGAGCTCCCGTCGCACCTTCTTACAGAGGGTCACAGCTGTGGGAAGTGCTTAAACCCCACAGGTATCTGAATGGGTGTAGCTAGTACACTCTCAAGGGCAACTAAGGCCACAAGTGTACGATCTTAAGACAGGGAATTTTGTGTTCCTTTGACCCTTGTTAGACATTCAGTAGGACCCCCCACCTTAAGCTTCTTTTCTTTCTTGAGGCTTGGCCCTGCTTCCACCCCTAAACCCCAAGAGGAGGAGGGGCCCAAGCATCAAGCATCAGTGGCTGGTCCAAGGGTGAGGTGGGCTTGGGGGCGGAGTATGTGCTAGGTGCTAGTAAACTAAGAGTACAGAGTTGGATCTTGACTCCCACTCCCATGACCTCTGGCTGAAGTGGGAGGGTGAAGGCCCCAGCAGGATCCCCTAAGAGCATTTTCCTGCTCCCCCAACCAGCTGCCACCAATAACAAAAGCTATGATGCCATTGTTATGCAATAAACTGAAAACTTGTTATTTCTTTTTTTAAATATATATTTTTATTTCAGAGAGGAAGGGGGAGGGAGAGAGAGAGATGGAAATATCAATGAGAGAGAATCATTGATTGGCTGCCTCCTGCACACCCCACACTGGGGATCGAGCCTGCAACCCGGGAATAGAACTGTGACCTCCTGGTTCATAGGTCGGTGCCCAACCAATGAGCCATGCTGGCCAGGCTCTGCTTCTTGATCTTCACTTGATTCTAGGCCCTGAGTACCTAGGAAGAGCCTTTCCTTCTCTCCCCACAGAGTCCAGGTCTTGGTCTCTTCCCTCCCCTTCTGTAGGGAGCCTCAGTTCCCAGCAGAGGGCGCTCTGAGATTAGAAACTCAGTCTTCCATCAGCACCTGAGTACTAAAGGAGAGGGAATACTAGTATAGGCAGTAGATGCCCTCCTATTCCCTCAGCAGATGGAGTCCTGGCTTCGTTTTCTTCGTTGCTAGGGGTGCTGATCACACCTTGGTTCCCTTCAGGCATTTGGTATGGGGCGGTAGCATCTGGTCCCCAAGGAGGCCCCTGCATAGAGGAAGACTAGAGAGCTAAGGACTGCCCAGCATCACCAGAGAGAAATAGTGCACTGACACACCCTCCAGACCCCTCCTTGCCCCATTGATACAACAGGGAAACAAATCTGACAGGGACCATTAGCCACTTAACACCCCTTCCGCCTACCTCGGGGCCTTCTACTCCCTCTCTGATTCTGTAACCCCCCTCCCTTTTTTTCCTGGGTTATCTGAGGCTAAAAGTTCATGCCAATGTGCAGCTGGTGAGAGCTACTATTAAACAGTTTATAGTCGCCTCTTTTACCCTAAGCCTTGGCTTTGGAAGAGTCAAAAGAATAAACATGAATGAGTCTATATTAAAATCCATTCCCTATTCTCTGTACGAAATACCTCTCATCTCCCTTTTTTCAGCCCAAAGCTCTCAAACTAAGTGGTGGGGAGACATCTTTAGGGCCGAATGGTCCCATAGCAGCCTGAAGTGAACTTGTTATCTTGGCCTGGGCTCACTCACTCCTCTTGGGAAGTTTACTTGTCATGGGCAGTGGGAGTGACACCAGCTACTTACTGTTCATTGAGTCCTACTGTGTGGTGACAGACCTAATGAAGTAAAAGTCCATTATCACTTTCCATCTTCACTACCACTCCTGTGAGACCAGACATATGTGTCCATTCTTAGCAAAGTTAAGAAAGTTGCCTACAGCTACACAACTAGGAGGTGGTGGAGGCAGAATGCAGGCCGAGCTGTGTGACTGCACCCACTGTGCTATGCTTCTTCGTTACCTGCCAGCTGCTAGCCAAACCTGAAGTCATTTTCCTAGTCCCTTTGACATTCCAGGCCAGCAAAACTGATAGGCCCACAAATGTACATGGACCTTTTTACTGAAAAGCCACTGAGGGGTTTCCAAGTTTGAGGGTTTTATACCTGAAGTAGCATAAGCAAAGATTCCCATTCTTTAATTTTTTTGTTGTTAATCCTCATCTGAGGATATTTTTTCCATTGCTTTTCAGAGAGAGTAGAAGGGAGGGAGGGAGGGAGAGAGAAACATCTATATGAGAGACATATTGACTGGTTGCCTCCCACCGGTGCCCTGACTGGGGCAGGGAGTGAACCCGCAAACCAGGTATGTACCCTTAACTGGACTCGAACTCAAGACACTTCAGTGTGTGGGCTGGCGCTCTAACCACTGGAGAACACTGGCCAGGGCAAGATTCCTATTCCTGATTAAATAGAAAACCAGTTTCAATTCCATCCTGTTTTGTCAGCACCTCCCACCAAGCCTACCGGAGCCCTGGGTCAGTTCTTGAAATCTCTGCAGTTTCCATGTTGGGCTTTTGGTAATCACCTAAAAAAGAGGCCTTGCATTTTTATTGGAAAGTCTACGTAATATGACGTGGTGAGTGAGGGCGGGAGGAATTAATGAGAACAATTAGAGCGTGCGT